TAACTGGAATGATGACCTGTAAGAATACAGGTCACTGCTGAAAAATTATTCTTGTTTTGAGTCATAATTTTCGACAAATAGAATTTTGTTTCCTCCAGCGAAAAAATGCAGAAGTCCACTTAGTGACTATTTCTGACGTTTACTACACGAGGAGAGTTAGTTTAAGAATGTTTCTAAAGTTTATTTGTCAGAAGGTAGAGTTTCAGATATAGCAGCAGGCGTGTTTGTAGCCTGAGAGAAGCTAGTAAGCACGTGTCGCAGTCTGACTCCTTTGAAACAGGTCTTGTCCAGGATTCATTGACAATGCCACTCGGGCGGTGATCAGCATCCAGGAAAGAGAGAGAAAAAGGATATGGTTGAGGATATTAATGAGAATTCAAAGTAAGCATCTAAGCGTCGGCACTGATGCGTGGTGATAATCTACGTTGCGAGGCTGCCCTGCTTGTTATGTACTTTAGTTCCTGCATGACCTTACTAATTCCTATCATTTGTTCATTTACATAATTCTTTTTGTTCGCCCGCGGCTGGAACAAAGTGATCCGATGGTGGAGAATTGAAAATACATTGTTTAAAAAACACTAGTTGAACATCTGGAAAATACAGAAAAGTACAAAAGGAGAGAAAAAAATTCCCAATTCTAGCATTCAGAGATAACCCTTGTTAAAGATTAGAATCTGAATTTCAAGTATCTATTTTCTGATTTTCTGTTTACTATATATAAAATTGAGAGAGTATCACATATAAAAGTTGTATATTTACTTTTGTGTAATACAAACTCATTAATAAACTTCAAAATCCTATTTTGGTGGCTATATTATAAGGAATATTTTCCATACTTCTATGAGCAATGAGCATGTATATCTTGACAAACCATTTCAAATATTTCTCTTAAAAAACACACAAAAATTCTTTCCAAGTTTATCTAAGTGTCATCTTTTAATTTATTACTTTGTAATTATTAAAAGTGTTAAAGTTTTTATATGGTTAATGTATATTTAAATTTTGGGAGGGAATTAACTGTACCTTTTCTTTAACATAGATTTCTCTAAACTACCTTTTAATTTAATATTTTTAAATTTCAGAATATTATAGGGGTATAAACACTTTGGTTACATAAATTACCTTTTTACCACCTGAGTCAGAGCTACAAGCGAGCCCATCCCCCAGACAGCGTCTACTGCACCCATTAAGTGTGAATATACCTATCCCCTCTTCCCCCGTCCCACCTGCCCAACACCAATGAATGTTACTTCCATATGTGCACATAAGTGTTGATCAGTTAGTACCAATTTAATGGTGAGTACATGTGGTGCTTGTTTTTCCATTCTTATGATATTTCAGTTAGAAGAATGGGCTCCAGCTCCATCCAGATAATACAATAGGTAGTTCACTTTTTTTATGGCTGAGTAGAACTCCATGGCATATATATACATTTTATTAATCCACTCATATATTGATGGGCACTTGGGTTGTTTCCACATCTTTGCAATTGTGAATTGTGCTGCTACAAACATTCTAGTGCAGATGTCTTTTTTATAGAATGTCTTTTTTTCCTTTAGGCAAATATCTAGTGATGGGATTGCTGGATCAAATGGTAGTTCAACTTTTAGTTCTTTGAGGTATCTTCATATTACTTTCCGTACAGGTTGTACTAATTTGCAGTCCCACCAGCAGTGTATGAGTGCTCCTATTTCTCTGCATCCATGCCAACATTTGTTGTTTTGGGACTTTTTGATAAAAAGCCATTCTCACTGGAGTTAAGTGATATTTCATTGTGGTTTTGATTTGCATTTCCCTGATGATTAGAGATGTTGAGCAATTTTTACCTTTTAATTTTAGATTAAGCATTTCTTAGTCTATTAAGTTCATTAAGCTTTTCTTAATTTAACTTTTAATTTTTGCAGAAGTTGATCATGTCAAGTATTTATTTTATTTCAGAGAATCTATTTTATTTCTAGTAAATAAAAATTCATATCAAATGCAATTGTGCAAAAGATCTCAGTGAAATGTACAAGTACTTTTAATTATATATAAACAAGTAAAATTCAATGGTGTGAACTAGGTAGCTAAGAAAGTCATAAATAAATGCTTGAAGTGTTAACAGTAGCATGAAGGCATTCCTACCAATAGGAGTTAACATCTAAAAGTTGTATACAACTTACTGATACACTGTATCCTTTAAATATATTCAAATCAACCATCATTTAAAGTAGTATTTTTAAAAAATTTAAACTACATGAATATTTATGTTTAAGCAGAATGAAGAATGTAGAATGTTTACTGGTTTATATAAAATGATCTAATACACACATATGTTGTGTACAGATTGAAGATGACTATGAAACTCTCACTCCAGTAGCTATTAGATCTCAACAATGCTTTTAAAATTTCACCTCTTGAAAGAATTTTTTATTTGAAAATGGTTAAATGGAGTGTTAAGTCCCATAAAGGGTTAACAAAGAGGGTGAAACTTGATCCACATGGCTGAAAATCAAAGTTCTGAGTTTATTATTTATCAGATCATACCTTTCTATTTTTGAGCACCTTCAGTTGAAAGGTGCAGTACCAGGCTCATAGAATTGAGGGGTGATTATGCATTAGAATAGATGTCATTTTCAGTTAGAAATCACCTATGTTTGATACAGAGTATCTAGTTCATATCCATATAAATCTATATAATTGTTTTAGTCACATTCTTAGTAATGAGTCTGTATTTCCACCAAGACTCAAATAAAAAATTTTGCTAAATATTTCCCCCCTTCTCTTGCTAGTCCACTGAGAAATTGAGATCTGTATCTGTGGGTGAAATTCGCTGATGGGATTTCGCATCTGTGATTGGCAGTCTAAATGGGATTCAGGGTCAGACACAGAATACCATTGGCAGAGATAAAGAATCAAATGAAAAGTCATGGGATAATGGCCAGTTGTGCTTATCATCCTTTTTCCTCTGCCTCAGACTCTAGTGGCTGTCACTCACTCTCATTACTAAGCCTGGGAGTGACACCGCAGGATATTGCCGTCTGAATTGCCAAGCATCTTTCAGGCAAAGACAATAATTATAATATTCTGATTTCCAATGATAATTTCCTTTGGCTCAGCACTGTGGTATAAGTGGATCAGAATACAGAATGATTAATACTTTTTAGTACTGTGCCATGCCAAATGAAGTATCTTTTTATTTTGCGATTTAGTTACCCCTGCCATTTATAAATATCATACAGTCATGCGTATGCATATTGTGTGGTGTGTCTACATACATGTGCAGCATAGAATTCTAATGTGCATTATTATGCATATATATATATATATCAAAGAAAGATAACATTTTAAAAAAACTCCCTGTTACTATTGACTAATTGCTCCCAAGCATTTATTAGACATAGTATCTCTGAGGTCAATTTAATGTAATATGTCCTTTCTGCATTGGTAAGAGTGGGAGGCAGTTAAATGAGATGGAATTAATATTTACAAAGATTCTATTTTGGCCTAACACGGTGCTGGTATTTTTATTTACTTTATTTTGTTTAATAGTCACAAAAATTGACTATGTAGGTATTATTACTTCTAAAGTATGAGTAAGGACACTGAGTTTCCAGAAGTCCTGTAATTTCCTAGAAGTCAAACAGCTCACATAAGATGAAATTGTGCTTCTGACAGTGTTTCTTTGACTCCTTGAAACTAAACTCTTTCAGATACAAGTTACTTAAAGTGACAACTGACTTAGGGTAGACCTACAGGTGTACGAAGATTATTTCCCTAATAGTGAAATGTTCTGCATAACTTAAGAAGGCTAGTTGTGATTTCTTTGGAGAGATTTGTCAACATTAGGAAATCTATTTCCTGCGGTCTCTTGACCCCTCCCCCTGCTCTCATCTAGTTGTATTAAAATGTAAAACACCAGTTCTAGTTGCTCAACTGGATGGCTTAAAGTGACTGCACTTCTCTGACCTTTCCACCTGTTCCATAAGTTTACATCAATGCTAGAATAGTTGTCTTTCTCAATGTAGGGCATTTACATAGAATGCAAGGTCACTAACTCAAATACCTGTAGCTTGCACATCTGTGAGTGAATTCGATTGAGTGTGGAAGCATAGAGAGCACTGATGCCTATTTACATTGGAACCTGCAAGCTCCTCCAAAAGGTATTTATAGCGACTTACAAGCAAACAGTGTCTTAACCAAACAAAACGCTTGGATACGAATTAATTCAACCCAAGGCATCACGTTTACAACATTTTGTGAAAATCAAGTGTTGATACATATTTGAGCATCTCAGAAGTTAGTATAATAGTAACACATTATCAGAATTCAGTTAAATACTTACTATTCCATTTCCTTAATTATTTCTTCTGTGAGCAAAACTAATTATTTTCAAAGAGGGTGAAGCAGTGCAGTTGTTGATACTTGTCTTCGAAATACTCTTTTAAAAATAAAAGGCATAACAATACCCTGCCTCACAACTTCTTTAAGGGTCAGATATGGTTACCCCTGTTTTGTAAGTGGGAAAGTTAAGTCACCAGGGAGACTTAAATGTACTGTAAAAGACTTCTAAGAAATTAAATTCCATGCTTTGTAAGTCTAGCACTTCAAAGTTGATGTTAACATTTATAAAGCTTTTAAAGTGTATGGTATACCTTCTCCGTCTTCCATCTTGCTGTTGCTCTTTCTACCTGTTCAGCAGCTCCATGTGAATAGATTGGATTATGAGTTAATGCGGGCCTACAAGTTGTTGCTAGGGCAAAGAAACCCAGACTTTGTTTGGGGAATGATATTTGTTCTCCAGCTTTCTCTTGAAAACATACGAGCCTTTCCTTTTTAAGCAGATTTTTGTTGTTGTTGTTGTTCCATTCAGAAATCATGGTGAATATTTCCAGCTCGTTGGGTGGAACCTAGTGCTGGCTGCCTTAGGCCCAGTGTGTGTTTAGGAGATACCCTTGGAGCCTGATGATGAGGAATCTTTGGGTGAATCTTCAGCTGAATGTGTTACCACGTTTTTACAGGAGGCGATCGAGATCGAATGACAGCAAATCATGAGAGCTACCTTCTCATGGCGAGCACCCAGAATGATATGGAAGACTGGGTGAAGTCTATCCGCCGAGTCATATGGGGACCTTTCGGCGGGGGTGAGTACGATTAAAAATTATGGAAGCACAGAAAGGTAGACCAAACCTCTTCATCCCTTTCCCCCAGCTGATGTTACGTTCCCGCTGAGCAAAGTGATCCGATGGTGGGAATTGAAATACATTGTTTAAAAAACATAGTTGAACATCTGGAAAATACGAAAAGTACAAAAGGAGAGAAAAAATCCAATTCTAGCAGTGCAGAGATAACCCTTGTGTAAATTGATCTGAATTTCAGTATTCTGATTTTCTGTTTACTATATATAAAATTGAGCGAGTATCACATGATAAAATTGTATATGTTACTTTTGTGTGACTAGCAAACTCTATTAAAACTCAAATCCTATGTTTGTGGCGTAATTTAAGGATACTTTTCCAGTACTTCTATGAGGCAATGAGGGACATCGTATTATCATTGCAAAACCTACTTCAAATATTTCTCTAAACACACAAAATTCGTTTCCATTTGATCAAAGTGTTCATCTTTAATATATGATACTCCTGTGATTATTAAAGTTTAAGTTTTATACTGGGGTGATGGGTTATGGCGTGAAATTGCTTGAGCAAAATTAGAAGCTGCTGACCTGGAGGCGCCGTGGTCTTGAGACATAGATTGTCTCTAAATACGTTTAAGTCTCATGTTTTACAATTCAGGATCGTTAGAGGGGTTAGAAGGACTCTTGGGTTACGTAATTATCCTTTACACTTGGTCAGAGCTACAAGCGAGCCCGAGTCCCCCAGGACAGGCGTTACTGCACCCACTTAGTGGTGAATATCACCTATCCTGGCGTTCCCCGTGCCACCTGCGCACACCAATTGGAGATTTACGTTCGATATGGAATAGAGGTTGATCCAGTGGTACCAGGCTCTTGATGGAGCATGTGGGTGCTCGGTTTTCCAATTCTGAAGTGATATTCAGTCGTAGAACGGATGGCTCCAGCTCCGTCAGGATTGTACAATAGGTAGTCCGCGGTTTTGTATGGCTGAATAAACTCCATGGAACGGGCGGTATATGGATCATTTTTATTATCCAGGAGATAGCAGTGATGGGACTTGGGGGTGTCTCGTCCGCCTTGGCCAATTGTGACTTGGCTGCTACAACACCATTCGGTGCAGAGTGTTTTTTCGGATAGAATTTCCTTTGGGAATATCTTGTGATGGGATGCTGATCAAGAATGGTGTAAACTTTTAGTTCTTGAGGTATCTTCATATTACTTTCTCTACAGGTTTACTATTTGCATCCCACCGCAGTGTATGAGTGCTCCTAGGTATCTCTGCATCATGCCAAATTTTGTTTTGGGACTTTTTGATAAAAAGCCATTCTCCTGGAGTTAAGGTGATATTTCAATTGTGGTTTTTTGTTGCAATTTCCCTAGATTAGGATGTGAGCAATTTTTACTTTTTAATTTTAGATTAAGCATTTCTTAGTCTATTAAGTTCATTAAGCTTTTTAATTTTTACTTTTAATTTTTGCAGAGTTGTACATGTTCAAGTATTATTTATTCAGAGAAATCTATTTATTTCTAGTAATAAAAATAATCAAATGCAATTGTGCAAAAGTCTCAGTGAAAAATTGTACAAGGTACTTTTAATTTATATATAAAACAAGTAAATTCACAGTAGGTGTGAACGTAGTACTAAGAAATCATAAATAACATGTTGAAGTGTTAACGAGTAAGCATGAAGCATATCGCTACAAATAGAGTCTAAATCTAAAAAGGGTTGTATAGAACTACTGATTACACTGTATCCTAAATATATTCAACATAACCAGCATTAAGATATTTATTTTTAAAAATTTTTACTACATGTGTGTGTGTGTATGTAGTAGTTTAACTGTTTATATTTATTTACACACATTGTTTGAATGATGACTATGAACTTCACTCCAGTGCTATTAGATTCAATAATGCTTTTAAATTTCACCTCTGAAAGAAATTTTTATGGTTATTTGTTCTTGTTTTTTTTCTTAAAGGTTAACAGAGGGTGAAACTGATACACATGGCTGAACAATCAAAGTCTGAGTTATTTATTTATCAGATTTTATTTGATTTCATGTTCAAGGTGCGACCAGGTCATAGAATTGGAGGTTTGTGTTTATGCATTTGAATAGATTATTTTCATGTTTAGAATTCATCTGTTTGAGTTAGCAGAGTATATTAATATTTTTTCATCATAAAATCATATGATAATGTTTAGGTCTAGTATGATGTGTCCAATTATTTCAATATAATATTGCTAATTATGATATTCCTTCTCGTTCTTGTCTTAGTCTATCTGAATTGATTTGATCTGTATTCTGTGTGTGATATTCGCTGATGGTTTTGTGTGTGTGGATTCAGGGTTCAGACACTGATTATATCTTATGTGTATAGTAATAATCTATTTATATATTGCTTGTAATGTTCTTTCTTCTGTCCTGTATTAGGCTGTTCAATACTCTCATTATATAGGGTTTATTGTTTGATGATGTCTCTGAATTGCATGATTCTTGTAAATATATTCTTGTTTAATTATATATTTCTTTTTTTCGGGAGCGGCGGAGCGGTGTATAAGTGAGCAACAGAATGAAGAGCACGTGAGCAGGGTTTTTATTACCCCTGCAATTATAAGTACATACAGTAATGCGTATGAATTGTTCGTGATTCTACTTTCCATGGCAGCATTTAATTCTAATGTGCGATTATTATGAATAGAATATATATCAAAGAAAGATGAACATTTAAAAACTCCCTGTTATATTGACTATTGCTCCAAGCTATTAGACTAGATACTCTGAGGTCAATTCATGTATATGTCCTTTTTGCATGGATAAGAGTGGGAGGCCAGTTAAATGGATGGAATATTTTACGAAAGATTCTTATTTGGCCTACACAGTGCTGGTTTTTGTTTTACTTTATTTTTTTTAAGTACAAAATTGACTGATGAGTATATACTTACTTCTAATAGTATGAGTAAAAGGCACTGAGTCTCTCAGACCAGTCCTGTAATTCTAGAAGTCAAAAGCTCACTTAAGATGAAATGTGCTCTTGACCCGCTGCTCTCTCTGGCCTCCTCCGCCACACACCCTCACAACTCTTCAGATCCCCCACATTACTCACGCGACAACTGACTAGGTTAGACTCTACAGGTGTACGAAGATTATATTCCTAATATGAATGTTCTCCAGTACTTAGAAGGCTAGTTGTGATTTCTTTTGAGGAGATTTGTCGACAATTTACGGAATCGTTTTCGTGCGTCTGCTTGACCTTCCTCTTCATCTATGTTGATGTAAATGTAAGAACACCAGGTGTGAGGTGCGTGCAGAGGCGATGGTTGGCTTAAGAAGTGAGCGGTGACCAGGCGTGTGCGTGAGTGGGTTATCATGCGGGAGAATGAGTGTGTCCAAGGAGAAGAAGTGCAGTAGGGTAGGCAGTCGGGCGCGTCCGGTGTGGGTGGAGGAAGGCGAGCGGCAGTGAGCAGGAGGGAGAGAGTAGCGTGTACAGAAGCCGCTGGTAACGCAAAGGCGTGAGGCGATTGAGTAAGGGCAGGGGATATTGGTGATAATTAATAAATACCAATAAATCTATAATTGGTCAATAAATATTCATTTCTAGCTACTTTGAGCTTAACCATGAGCTACCTGTATAATAATGATTTCTTCTTACAAAAGATTATGACCTAGTAGGGGGTATAAGAAATATATAAAACAGTATTATAAAATTTCAGAAAATTAAAATGTAGAATTAATTTTATTACAGTGCAAGTAGCATTTAGTAATGTGTTTGTTGTGTGGTACCAACTACAAATGTAATGATAATTACTGCTACTGGGGCCTTAATTAATTCTCATTTTCTGCTTTAGGGGTTTTAAAATATTCAAATACCTTATTGTAGAGTAACATAACTTTTTGTGGACAAAATGCACTTCTGATATTTTCAAAATTAATCTTGGGGGGAAATGCTTGGAAAAAATCAATTGGCAAATCATATCAAAACTCAATTTTCAGGTACCAAAATCTCTATATATGAAAAACTTAAATGTGATATTGGATGTGAGGCCAATTTGTTCTCTGCCTTTATCTTGTGAATTATGTGCTATTTTGTTATTTTTGTTGTTGTTATTTATTAAAAAGTGACAATATCCATAGCAGCCTATAATTTGTTGTTTGTGCTTCACATAACTTTGGTTGTTTTCCAAGCATCAGTCTCCATAAAAGGGAAGAAATACTTTCCTCTGTCAGTGATTTTCCACTGATATGCTTCAGAATTTACTGTAAATCTTGCAATTTATCCTTAGGGCTTTACTACCAGTAAAGACTCAAACTAAGTTTTGAAGAAAGTCACGCTTAGAGGAAAAATAAGGACTTGCAGGAATATGGGTAAAAATTATTTACTTGGAACATTAAAATACTTTCCTGTAGCCAATAATAAAATGGATGCACAATACTCTAGTTTTTGACATGATTTGCAATTGGGAACGAGGAAAGCATCTCACCCTTGGAATTATTAACAGCATCTGAAGTGTTCACTGAAATGTCCCCAGGTCTGTACTGTGAACTTGTCTTGGAAACTAACTACTGTCAGTTAGTTTCTAACTGTTGCTACTAATATATAATGGCTGTGATCGAAGTTTCTTTTGTACAACTTGTTTTAAAATTTAAATACAAACAAATAACTCACAGCATATCTTTAAAAGTTTGTTAACTGGGAATGATGCACCTGTAAAATACATCACTTCTGAAAAATTATTCTTGTTTTGAGTTCAAATTTTAGTGACAACTTAGAATTATTTTTCTCCAACGAAAAATGGCAGAAGTCCACTTTAGTGACTATTTCTGGAACTTTCTGCACAATAAGTTTAGTAAAATGTTTCCTAAAGTATAATTTTCAGAAAGGTAATTCACATAATAGCAGCAGTGCCTTTTGTCACTGAGAAAGTACTAGTTACATGGTGCATTCTGGACTTTGAGCAACACGGGTCTCTTGTCTCAAATCTTTCATTGAGAATGCACTCGGTGATCA